ATGGAGCCACCAAAACAAAACCCTAATCTATTTTTTTTCCCTTCCTCCTCACTTCTTTCCCCCGTTTCTCCTTCTCTCTTAGAAACTAATCTCCTCTTTGGTAATTAAACACTCTCTCTCTCTCTCTCTCTCTCTCTCTCTCTCTCTCGGCTCTCTCTCCTGCAAAGCACTCTTGCACTCTTTTTTTTTTCTTCCTTTCCTTAGCCTTTTATGATTTAACCTAATTGATTATTGTAAAATATTATATAAATACACATAAATATAACATATATATATATATATAAATATTCAAATTAATTATATATAATTAAAGACCACATTAAACTAATTAAATATCACATGAAATTAACTAAACAACACATTAAATTCCCATGTAGCCACGTAATTAATAAAACCAAAAATAAAATAAAGTAATAATAATAAACAATGACTTACGAAAAATCAGGGTCTCTACAATTCTTTTGGGCCAGAACTTTAGAAAACACTTGACAATTTGTAGAAAAATATGAAATGAAATTCAATTTATAAAATCAAAGTCCAAAAGCAAGTGAATTCTTCAAAACTAAGCCTTTACCTTAATGTATAGCAAATGCATGCATTGCTTTGAGCTCAAACTCTTTAAATCATGAACAATTAGGATGAAATGGTAGGAAACATGATGAATCGTCAAAACAAAGCTTGGATTATTACATGCATGCAAGAATTTTTTGGAAAACAACCTCAAATGCCATGAAATATACATGCACGTATGTATTGAGCTTTAATTCTTCAATCTTAGCTTAATTATTGTATTTAATGACCTAACTCTCTTGAATTCATATTCTTGATGACTCATACACCTAGTTTATAGGTTGAATTCTTACATTTACTTCTCAATTGGGTTATAGATTGTTTATTCTTTAAGCTTCCAAGCTAATTCCTTCAATTTCTTCCCAATTCTCTACAATTCTCCTTTTCTTCTTAGCTTGAACTCAATGTTTTTTCCTTCTCTCCCTCTCTCAACATTTTCTTGCTCAAGAAATGAAGATGGGATGTAAATGAGAAGGTTCTTGAATCACACTAGCCTTATATAGGCTTAATTAGTGGTCTATAATTGATCTTGATTAGCCGTAGCTTAGTTTTAGTTCATTTATTCTAATTATTTGATTCTGAATTGAATCCTAATTAAACTGATCATAAAATTCTAAAAATTTCAAATAACACAAACCTAAGCAATTTCATGTTTGGATGCTGATATGGCTCTCAATTTTCATATTGAAACAAAATTCTGGACAAATATTCCTACAACAAATAGATAGAAACACAAAGATCACATAAAATACACAATTAACTCACAATTTCATCGTAAATACTTATTAGGCCTTCTTAATTAAAGATTAGTAGTTAATCACAGAGTGGGGTTGTCACATTAACAGATAGAGAGAAAGAGATGAGGAGGGAGGGAGAGAGAGAGAGAGAGAGAGAGAGAGAGAAGAAATAAAATGGGTTTGTGAAATCAACTGATAAAGAGAGAAAGAGATGAGCAACAGAGAGACAGATAAAAAGAAAAAAAAATGGGGTGAACAGATCAATCTATGTTTCCTCTCTATGTATATCATAATTTAGACAAACAGAAATAAAAAATTAAATAGAAAAAAGAATAGGCTTGTGAAAATCAATAGAAAAGGAAAATAGGTTTTGTGAAATTCAATAAAGTTAAAATTTTGAACAGATAAGAGAAAAAAAATTAAACAAATAATCAAAAAAATTGAATAGATAGAAAACTTTTTGAACAAATATTTAACAATTTTGAATAGATTGAAGATATAGTCAACGAAAGTCAACAAATAAAAAAAAAGTCAATAAATAAATTGGAGGGTAAAATTAGAAACAAAATGTCATTCAAAATAAACAAAAAGACTTTTCACTAAACTATTTCACAAATGGTAGACCTCTTATCAACAAAACATATCCACTAGATTTAATATCTTATATCCTCCTTAACTTAGACTTTTCAACAATTAACCCTAAAAATTATTATGTGTGTGTACTGAGTAATGGTGTGTATCGAAAGTATTAGTGATTTGTAAATAGAATTACCCAATATGTTTTCATCAAATTTAACTAATAATTTGATTTGGTAAAAAAATTGCATGTTTCAATCCTGACTAAAAAATTTCTTCAAATCTTTTTTAAAATTCCAAACTTATTCCTAGAAGTTTTTTTCCATCAAATTTGGTAAAATTAGTTTTTGCCTTGATTGGATGAAAACTTAATTTCATACATGTTTGAGACTTTTACTAGATTTTTCATCAAATTTAAATTTGATGAAAAATTGAAGATGTGCAAAAATATGAAAAATACTGATCAAACAATACTATTTTTGATTGGACATTTGTTTAGAATTATATATATATATATATATATATTACAATAGAGAAAATAAATAGAACTTATTGGATTTCTTGCCCTAGGGCTATGCTTGTTTCAATAGAAAATTGTTCCATGAAAATCTATCATTGCGAAAGAAAGTTTTTTTAACAGTGCATTTGTCTTGATACACTATTACTCCACTTGGAGAAACTTTTACTACTTTTTTTCTTTTTTTATCTTATTTTAATCTTTAGATAATGAAAGAATTTGTTACTAGCTTAGTCCTGAAAATTTTTGATTTCCAAGAAAATTGGACATTTGTTCAGAATTATATATATATATATATATATATTACAATAGAGAAAATAAATAGAACTTATTGGATTTCTTGCCCTAGGGCTATGCTTGTTTCAATAGAAAATTGTTCCATGAAAATCTATCATTGCGAAAGAAAGTTTTTTTAACAGTGCATTTGTCTTGATACACTATTACTCCACTTGGAGAAACTTTTACTACTTTTTTTCTTTTTTTATCTTATTTTAATCTTTAGATAATGAAAGAATTTGTTACTAGCTTAGTCCTGAAAATTTTTGATTTCCAAGAAAATATTTATTTGAAAATATTTTTACAATTATTGTGAAAACTGTGTAGTGTAGGTAGTTGTTCAATTTGAATGATCAGACTTGCCATAGTTCTGGCCTTTTTGTACTAGGGATTGTTGTGACACCATTGAAGGCATAGTAATTGTTCGTAAAAATGTGGTGTAAAGTTCAGACATTGCACAGTACTTACATAGAGCTATTCATTATCCAAAATATTTTATGAGCTTTACATTTTTATTTAATTTGAAATTTTAGCTCCATTTTGGGAAGCTGTATATACTTTTCTTACTATGTGTTTATTTCCAGAAATGAATTTGTAGTGGAATTTCATAGTCACCACCCTGTTGAGATAGGTGGGTTAGGTGAGAGAGGGGGACCGTTGCTACTGATTTCCGCTTATATATTAATTTGTCCATTTCCATCACCACTCTCGTCACAAGCAAGACACAGAGAGAAAAGCAAGAGAGAGGACAAAATGTGAAGCTCTGCCAAGTAAGGCGACTTAACAATAGTTGGTAAAAATGTCATTTAAAATATTTTATATTATTTAATATAACGTTTTTTTAAAAAAAAAAATTAATCATTTTTTTTATTATTTTAATTAAAAAAAAAGTCAAAAACTGAACTTAGGCCTTGTTTGGCAAGAGGCTATTTTAGCCAATTAGCCAAAAAGTTACTAAATTAGCCAAAAAGCCAACAACCCATACCAAAAAGTAAAAGATTCTCTTTTCTCTCTACTTTTTGCATATCTTTTCGTAATTAGCCAAAGAGTCATCCCAAACATACAAGTTTTTTTTACCTACCTTTTTAGCCAAATAGCCAAAAAGTTACTAAATTAGCCTGTTCCCAAACGAGGCCTTAATTTAGGTAACGTTTGGTTGTGTTTTGTAATTATGATTTGAGAGTATGAGTTGTATTTTGAGCTTGTGGGGTTTAGAATTATGATTTGAGTGTAGAAAATTTGTTTGGTAAAGAGTTTTGAAAATAGTTTTGAAAAAAGTTTTGATTTGAGTGGGGAATTGTTGATTTGACATTTAATATTTGATATAAAAATTTACAACTCATAACTAAACATACAACTCAAAATTATTTTAAAGCACATAAAAAATTTTAAAAATTTCAAAAAATATTTTTTTCAATTATATAAAAATTAACATATAAATTGCAAAAAAAAATAAAAAAAAAAAAAAAAAAATACTATTCCGGTCAACCAACTGAACGTCCCATTAGGCCAAATTTTGAAAAAAAATTTTAAAAACGCATCTGTCAAAACAGAAAACCACGCCCTCAGACAGGGTGTTTTATGCAGAGTTTTGGAAACATCATTTGAGAACTCTAACCAAACACCATACTTGAATTAAGATGTGGAATTGTGATTTGAAATCACAACCAAACAGAGATCATTTAGAACTAGGGGTGTCCGCGGTTCGGTTTGGTACGGTTTGCGGTTCGGTTTGGAGCCGCCCGTATGTATGCGGTTGGAGAAAAAGTCAACCGGCAACAGTCCGCAATGCGGTTTGTGGTGTGTGCGGATAGGGTTCGCGGTTGCACGGGCGGTTTGCAGATTGAACTTTTTTCCAAAAAAATACTGTTAAATCATTTTTTTTTCCCATTTTTTATCAATATTTCCTTTAGACCTTTTTCCTCTCATTTTCTAAAATGCTCTAACATTAATAATTAATGAATTAAAACTTATAAAAAACTTATAAAATAAAAAACCCAACAAAATCAATTCGTAAGCTAAACAAATCATTCAAAATCTACTTTCATCATTAACTTGCATTCATCTCAATTCGTAACCTAAACAAATCATTCAAAATCTACATTTATCATTAACTTGTATTCATCCTACATTCATCATTCTTAACCCAAATTAAAAAAATAATAATAATAATAATTCTTCATTAACTTACATTCATCCAAAATGTAAAAATAAAATAAAAATTCATTAACTTACATTCACCCAAAACCAAAATGCAATTTAAAAAATAGGGTTTTTTTGAACGGTTAAATTTAAAAAAAATATATAAAATTGTGCGGGCGGGTTGGACGGGTGCGGGTCAAACCCATAACCTGAAAATTAGATAAAATCCAAACCGCACCCTACCCTAATGTGTTTGCGAAACCGTCCATACATGCGCGGTTCGAATCGGGGTAGGACGGTTTGGGCGGGTCGGATGACCCTATGTCCTGCTCTATTTAGAGCAATCCTTTAACTTGGTTAAGAAAAATTATGTTACAGATGATAGTTTTTTTTTAATTAATTTGATGATTGTGAGATAAAAATTACATTAATTATGGAATAGATATGATATTTTGTCTTATTAACTATTTTAATCTATTTTATATTTAGTGACTATTTTAACTAAATAATCTTCAGCCGAACAAAACTATAATATTGTTATTTTTTTTAATTATAAATAAAAAAATAAACAAGAAATTAAAGTAATGAATAATGTGCAATGTATCTACCTAATCTACACGAGGACCACGATCCATTCTTATAAGTAAGTTTTAGGAATTGTTTGAAATGACCTAAATAAGTATATTTTTTATCTTTTTATGAAAAGATATGTAAAAAAGTAAAAAAAAAATGTGATGAGAAAAAGATAAAAAGTTAAATTATTTTGTATATGTCAAACTTTTCTATATAATCTCCAATTCTTTTAGATAATCTTTGTAGAAACATAACTTCAAAACCCAATTAAGTAGAAGAAAAGATTAGAGGAGTGGAGGTGACCAAAGCCATGGAGAAGGAGATTAAGGTTGAGATCATTGCTAGAGAAACCATCAAGCCATCTTCTCCCACTCCTCATCACGTCAGAAACTACAAGCTCTCACTTAGAGATCAGTACTGTACACTTCATTACACACCAGTGGCTTTCTACTACTCCACTCCCACTATTATCGGTGGTTGTGAATCTGAAGAGATGGTGGGTCTAATATCGGAACGCTTGAAGGTTTCCCTCTCTGAAACCCTCACTCGCTTCTACCCACTTGCGGGAAGATTGAGAGACAACCTCTTAGTTGATTGCAACGATGATGGTGTTGATTTTGTTGAAGCTCGAGTCATCAACTTCCATCTTTCAAACTTTCTTGATCGACCCAAACTTAAAGTCATCGACCATTTGGCTCTACCCGAACCCACAGATTACTACAAGACCCCTCTTTTACTCGTTCAAGTTAACTTTTTTCCATGCAACGGAGTTGTGGTTACTGTGAAAATGTCCCACAAAATTGCTGATGGATTCTCCATTGGCATATTTATGAAGGGTTGGTCAGACATCGCTCTTGGATCTCCTGACGCCATAGTCCCAGATTTTAATGCTGCCTCCTCTCGCTTCCCTCCAAGAGACGATATCCCTGTAATTTCTCTTACCTTCAAGAACATAACCCAAAAGGTTGTTAAAAAGAGGTTTGTCATCGATGCCTTAAAAATCGCTTCCCTCAAGGCCAAAACAGAAAGCGAGAGCTTGCAGAAACCCACACGCGTCGAGGTTATTACAGCACTTGTTTGGAAATGCGCGGTGGCTGCATCAAGGTCAAGATTTGGGGGGTCTCAAAGGCCTTATGCATTGGTGGGAGGCGTGAATATGCGGTCAAGGCTTGTTCCACCCATGCCAAAAGGGAAAAGTTAGGGATCATGAAAATTTTGTCATGAAAATGATCATGAAAAATTTATGATCTTTGGATTACCTTGATTAGTGTGTGGTACTTTATTCTAAGTGTAATCCAAGGGTCACGAAGCTTTCATGATTATTTTCATGAAAGGTTTTTCATGATACCTAGCATTGCTGATGCCAAAATACTCATTTGGGAATATAGTGGGAATGTTGTGGGCAAGGTTCTGAAAAGCGGTTGCGGTCGCCGTAACAGTGGCGGTGACGCGGTTGCGGTTGCGGGGTGTAAAGGCCGTAGTGTAACGGTTGCGGTAATCGGAACCGTGAATTTTTTTATTTTTTGCACAATTTGAAAAAAACTTACCGATACGCATATTTTTTTTCCATGATCATATTTATTGGGTTAAAAATAAATATTGATTAATTTTTGCAAATTTTTAAGTATGATCCAATATATTTCATATTTCTAAATCACTATAAACTGAATTTTTTACATTTTATTTTAATAATTAATGACTTTATATTATACAAAAAATCAATCACTAATTATTATATATAAGATAAACAATGACAAAAGTAAGAGAATAAATAAAAGCTTAAATATATATATATATAAATATTTTAACCAAGCCAAATAGATAATGACCACACTTATTATTATTATTATTATTATTATTTTCAAACAATATATAGATAGACATACACAAAAAAAATGATTTAGTGATAGCAGTTGAATAGAATAGCATAGGGCTTACAGTTTCAACAAATCAATAATATGTTGTTCATCTTCCCTTTTCTCTCTCTCTCTATCTGTTGCTCCTCCATTTTCTCTCTTTTATCTTCCCTCTTCTCTCTATCCCTCTTCCCCCTTTTTTTTGTGTTTTTTTTAAAGAAACAGTTTGGAACCGTTACGTAACGGTGCGTAACAGGCCGTTATGGCTGTTACGGCACCATTACGACCGCTACGGCAGCCGCTACAGCCGACACACCTGTGAATCTCAATCACACTGCAAAAGCGGCCGTAACGGGTGGCGATAACTGCCAAAACCGTTACGTAACGGCGTTACGTAACGGTTGCGGCCGCTTTTTAGAACCTTGGTTGTGGGCAATGCTTGACAACGATGATCACGACTACGAGAGTCCAGCAACAAACCTGGCCAACTTGGTGTGTCAGTTGAGGAAAGGGTCTCAAGAGTCAAACGATGACACTAAGACAAAAGAGATTGCATCTTTGAGGCAGGTTAAGGGAGATGATATGGAGATGTATGCGCATAGCAGTTGGTGTCGGTTTCCTATATATGAAACTGATTTTGGATGGGGGAAGCCGACATGGGTGAGTCCAGCCGATGAGGGTGGACCAGTTGGAATTGCACTACTGGATGCAAGAGATGGTGAAGGAGTTGAGATTTGGGTGAATTTGTTTGAAGAGGACATGGCTTTATTTGAAGCTGATCAAGAGTTGTTGGCTTATGCCTCTCCCAACCCAAGTGCTCTGTTAAACAACTAGTCTATTATATTACTTTCTATATATTTCTTAATTTATATTTAATGTCTTTTTATATTATTTTTATTGTATTATTTCGTGTGTTAGTATTATACTCAAACATAAGATAGTACTATATAAGAGTTAAAGTCTTCAAGTTTCTAGGTTATGGTAATGTTGGTCCATTGTATTTCTTTTTATTATATTTCCAAGTTTATACTTTAAGATAGGCATAAAAGTCTTGGAGTTTAGTAGAGATCGTGTGATGGTTTATTTATCTTCTTTTTATTTTAACAATAAGGAGTATCGTGCATCATGTGATCAGAGACGTGTTAATCTATAGCAATAATATTAATAGAATATTTAGCATAATTATTATAATAATAATGACTGTAAACAATAATTTATATGGACAAAAATAAGAGTATAAATAAGTTTGAGATTTTGAAAGTCGTGTTGTCACTGGTCAAATTGGCCTCCTTTCGTGAAGATACAATTAGAGTAAAGGAGTTCTAAAATAAAATTTATATTACTCACAGCATCCTTCACCAGTGTTTATGATCAGATGAGGTTTCAACCATATCACAATTGTCCAAAATATCAATATAGAATATAGAGAACTCTCTCTAAAACTTCTCATTTTTAAAATTACATTTTCTTCTCCTTTACTACTTTTGTGGATTCTCAAAACCTATATTCCCTGTATATATTTATATAGAAGAATAGGTATAGACATAATTAACTCACATTTAATATCATAATTATTTTGAAATAAATCCTCATAATATGATTGTAATGGCAATATAAATTTTGCAACTTAAAACATAATTATAAGTCTTGTAAACATTAAATAATAAAATCATTTAATCATAAATACTATTTTATTTTTGTTAAAATATCCTAACAAGATTTACATTAGTTTTTTTTTTGCTAAGTTTATATTTTAAAAGTACCGCGAGTGTAAGTATCATGGTGATGTGATGGCCAAGATTATGCGCAGTAGAAAAGGTTGCGACCCTTGAATTCGGATCCTCGGTCGCCCTTCTCGGCGGCCCTTTCCTATAGCCCCCAAAACGACGTCGTTTTGGGGGCAAATTTTCAAAAAAGAAAAAATACAGAGGAAGAGGAAGGAAGGAGAAGGAGAGGAAGAGGGAGGGAGGGAGGGAGGAGGAGGAGGAGGAGGAGGAAGGAGGCTGCGAGCTCGCCGTCGCAGCTCGTCGCCTCGCCGCCCGCCGTCGCAGCCTCCCGATCGTCGCCCGCCATCGCTCGTCGCAGCAGCTCCCACCGCCGTCCGGCCCCGCCTCCGCCTCCTCCTCCTCCTCCTCCCCCTGTGATTATGGCCCCCTCCAGTCCGGCCCTTCCCTTCCTCCTCCTCCTCCTCCTCCCTCCTCCTTCCTCCCTCTTCCTCTGCTCCTTCCTCCCTCTTCCTCTGCGTTTTTTTTTTTTTGAAAATTTGCCCCCAAAACGACGTCTGCGTTTTTTTTTTTTGAAAATTTGCTCCCAAAACGACGTCGTTTTGGGGGCTACAGGAAAGGGCCGCCGTGATGGGCGACCGAGGATCCGAATCCACGACCCCTAGTGGGAGACTCAGCACCCCACTCAATGCTGATTGGTCAAAAATTATTTTTTATTTATTTATTTTTTCCTTTAATTACCAACCCCACGAAGTGGAAGCCTCTAGCAAAGTTCTTTACATTAGCTTTCTTTTTCGAGTTTATATTTTAAAAGTACCAAGCGTGGGTATCATGGTGATTTGATGGGCAAGATTATGGGCTGGTTGTGTTTCACGAGGGTTGAATGTCTCATATTCAAGTTTAACTATTGTAGCATTTGAGGGATTTATAAGACTCGCTATGAATTTAATTTTGATATTTTGCATTGTTATTATATAGGATCCTTAATGTATCTTATTTTTATATAGGATCCTTAATGTATCTTATTATAAAAAAATAATAATAATTTAATTTAATAATTGTAATATTTTTATTTTACTACACTTGGCTTAGAAAAAAATAAATGACAAATAAAATTTTAAAAATAAACCATTTGTGTTTTTAGAGACAAACAAGACAAAATAAAAAAAAAACTATAATTATCGAATCGATTTAATTTTTTTACTGATGACATACATTTAGAATTTTATAAAATGAACGATTCGAATAATCAAAATAAAAAATTGTAGGACCCATGGGCTCAAGTTCTCCCATATTGCGATTTGAATATGAGAAAAATCCAACTCTTACACTAGGCCAGGTTTGGCAAGTCTCAAAAAATTTAAAAAGTCAAAAAGTTACACAAAAAGCAAAAAAAGTCATTACTATTCATAAATAAAAAATATTAAAAAAATATTTTATACATTTTTATAATACAAAAGTTTGAACTACACTGTCAGCCGTACTGCCCCAAGAACGCAGATCATACACTTTTTGGGTTAAAAAAAAAATTGCATATGTAAAGCCACAAAGTTTGATGGTAATGTTGGGCTCTTGGGGGTCCACTAAGGGTTCCATTTGATAATCCGAACCGTTCAATATGTGGAACTCGTCGAGTACTATATGCCTGTAAAAAAAATCACTTTGATCGGATATCGTTAGCTATATGATCAGATTAGTTTTGTATAAACAAAACGGATGATGTGATAGTTAACTGTTAAAAAAAACTAATTCAATCATATAGCTATCGATATCCGATCAACGTGATGTTTTACAACATATAATACTCGACGAGTTGTACATATTGAACGGTTAAGATTATTAAAATTGGACCCGTGGTGACCCCCACAGACCGACCATTACTGTCCAAACACTTTGCCTCGAATGAAGCAATAATTTATTGTGTAAGACACGCTGCCCCAGCAGGACAGCCGTACAACCTACTCAACTTTCTTTCCCCCCTATACACTTTATTTGTATAATTTTTTATTACACTTTTTTTTTTATAAAAAGACAAAAAATTAACCCAAACATTTATATTTTTTTTCTCAATATTTTAATCCAAAAAAAAATACACTTATTTAAGGCACTCCAAACAACATCTCAGTAGTTAAACTTGGGGGAGTAAGTACTTTTTGTTATAATTTTAGTGACAAAGGAAGCTCCAGACAAGCGTATTTGGCTGCAAGACGTCCCTGGTAGATGAGTACATATTTTGTTGAATGAAGTTCTCATTTTGTGATGGGCCCGAACCCTCCACCCTCTTAAAAAAAAAATAAAAAAATAAATAAAAATAAAATAAAAATAAACTAATACGCTACAATATTATAAAACTATCAAATAATCACTCAATGTGATGGTCCATTATCCTCCATCGGACAAATTTTTGTAACTTATCGACAATTTTTTTAATCATATATAAAACTCATTTTAAAAAAAAAAGAAAAAAAAAAAAGAAGAAGAAGAATATGAAGATGTTATTATGATAAATAAATTTATTTTTATAAATATATTATTTTCAAATGAATAGCTTTTACTGGATCACATCATTTTGGGTAAATTTTTTGTTTGTGTATTATAATTCTGTTATAAATAAAAATTTTGCAATCATTTTGTATAAGATTACATTCACACACATTTTTATAATATTTTTTACTGTCTACTCGCAATAAAAGTGGGTCTCATATAATGTGATGATATGAGATTTATTCCCATTATGAATAGATGGTAAAAAGAATTATAAAAAAAAAGTGTGACTGAAGTCGGACTCGCAATGTAAATACTGACATCGGTGGGTCCATAGAGGCTTTTGGCCCACCACTTATAGCCCAATTCATGATTTAAGCATTAAAGCCCAACGCTACTGAAACCCAACATTGCACCAAGAACTAATGGCATCTAAATACTTGTCAAGATGGGAACTAGCCACATAAGCTGACAAAAATCCTGCAGAGTTATTGCACCACACATCAGCCATAATGAGGCCCCTGCAGCATTAAATGCGATAATCCCTTCACGTCGGAACAGGCAGCCTCACCATGAATAAGGCAAACTAGAGCATAGACTTTCGGCCAACATGACAAATCGGAGTAAATAAGGAAATGATGAACAAAGGATATAAGGAGGCTTCTAAGACACACAAAAAGGTTAAGTTCTCTATCGTTATTCTCCTATCATTGGCCATTAACCCCTCTCTCTTCTAACTTGACCGTCGGAGGGTCCGTTGGGGGACTCCCGTTCCTCGCTGGGCTTTTGTGCAGGTACCCCGATGGGCTTAGTGATCAGGGAACAACGTTGGAAGCGTGGGGCTACGATTAGCAGTACTATCAGCTGGCGCCGTCTGTGGGAACGCTACTCCGCGTAACAGTTATGTTCATTGTTACCAGAGACCCATTCCCGATAATTCCTCCTCACTAGCCATCAAGGTGAATGGTCACAACGAGATCCATGACTTCTCAACACAACGTCGTCGACCCCCAAGCCGACCCTCTCAATCCAAACAACCCACCTCAGTACTTCACAGAACTCACCAATAGCATCAACCGCTTGGCCGAGCAAAACTAGGCCTTGATCAACGCTTTGCTTCAACAAAACCTCCTTATGCCTCCTCCACCACCATCACAAGATATCCCTCCCAATCGAGAACAAACCCCAAGCCATCCTTTCCAACAAGTCTATGTCGATGACATGCTAGTCAAGAGTAAACCCTCCACTAATCATTTGGCAGACCTGTGAGAAACCTTCGAAACCTTACGCAAATATCAAATTAAGCTAAATCCAGAGAAATGCGCCTTCGACGTAGGATCTGGGAAGTTCTAAGGCTTCATGGTTAGCCAGTGGGGCATCGATGCCAACCCTGAAAAGATCAAGGCCCTGATAGAAATGCGGTCACCTAGAACGGTCAAGAGGTTCAACGGCTCACAAGCAGAGTCGCCGCTTTCAACCGTTTTATTTCTCGGGCAATAGACAAGTGTCTTCCATTTTTTAAAGTCATCCGACAGGCTTTTGAGTGGAACACTGAATCTGAGGAGGCCTTTCAACAACTAAAGCAGTGCATGGCCAACCCCCCTTCTCTCTCAAGCGCTCTCAGGCGAAACCCTCTTCCTCTTCTTAGCCGTATCAAACACTGCAGTTAGTGCTGCCATTGTCGGGGAAGATAGCTCAGTACAACGTCCAGTCAACTATATCAGCCGCGCTGTCAGGGGGGCGGAATAGAACTATTCTCTGTTGGAGAAAATGGCCCTCGTCTTTGTCATAGCCTCAAGGCGCCTCTGGCCTTACTTCCAAGCTCACACCATAGTGGTTCTCA